TTAGCACCTCTGAGGTTACGCTTATTGAAGTGAAGGGAGCTCCAGTTGGCAGTCCCACTTCCTCGTCTTCACCTGTTTGGCAACATTTGCTTTGCGAGGCCTGCAAACGGTACGAGGGGTTTACGGAATGGCTGCCATCTCAGTCATCGGCAGGGACTGAAAAATATCTGATTTTTTCCCAGCAAAGAAATCAAAATCCAATTTTGGTGAGGGGGGCGAGGGGGGGGGGGGAGAGGGGGAACGTTTTTGATTTTCTAAAACTGAGCATTTTGAACCGAAAGCGAAATATTTTTACCGAAAATATGTTTGGTTTTCAAGTTTTCAAAAACCAGCTGGTTTTTTTGTTGCTGCGGTTCATTGGTTTGGTTTTTTTGTTGAAAAATCTGAAAATGTTCAGGATAAAATGCCGTAAAAGTTCCCGGGAAAAAGTTGGCCCTTTTTGGCCAGTTCTACTGAGGCGAATTCTCACAGGAATCTGGTAACTCGGACGCCCGGCTGGAAATTTACAACAGCACCGAAAGCTCAGACGAACCATCCGCTTCTCTCAGCACCCCTGAGTCACCTGAACATGGGGTCTGCTCTGGCCTACAAACCACGTGGCTGGTTATCTCCCAGAATTCTTACACATGCACCACCCCCGGATGAACCAGTCCCGTCAGGCCTTGTCCTCAGCACCCCTTCTACAGATCCGGGGTCTGCTGTGGATTTGGGAGTCTCATTACCCGACAGGGGGCTGCAACACTACAATCTAAAGGGACATGAGACTTTCGGTGAGGGTTGCGTAGTGTCAAATACCTTCAGCGTGCAGGGAGACCAATGGGCAGGTTAAGTCCTGACTCCCCTCTAAGCTACTTCATTTAACAATCATACAGTGACCTTTTTAGTGTGCAGTGTGTCTGCTGAATGGGATTTTCTATATTTTTTTGCGCCAGCGAGAGGAAAGAGATAATTAATCTTGGGTGCTGGAACCTGAAAAATTAATGAGAGTGGCTTTAATCCGATCTGGGCTGAAAAATAATAGGCTGAGAGGAGCAGCTTTTGCCGTCTGATATACTTGGAGGAAACAGCAAGGATGCAAGATGCTTCCCCTCTTCTTCCTTTTGAAGTGCTGGGGTTGTTTTGAAGGGGCTCTCATTGAAGAGCGAGTTGCTTTACAAGCAGGGGGCGGGGGAAGGAGCCACTTCCATACAGTCAGCGCGATTTGGAGCCCATCAAGCTTCGTTAGGTCCAGCGTTAGTTGCTAAAGACGACCGAGAGCAGAAGATTCCCCGCCTCCCTCCCATAGTTTCCTTGTTATACTGAGTTTTCTGCGATGGAGACAGGAATGTGTGATGCTAACGGTCAGGAATGAGGGGTACGGTCAGCCTGGGGTGGGAAGGGGGGAAGGGACGGCTCAGCCGATTGGTCGTGTGCTAGGAAGCCGTTTGATTCTGCAGCGGCTGATTTGAATCCAGCCCAGATAGTGCCGAAGGAACATTGTTACCCTCTGATGGCTGTGATGGGTCCAATGAGTTTCGGGGGGTGGGGAGGAGAGGAGGGGGAGAGGGGCTCTCTTTCTGGTTCCTGATCGGTAGAGAGCCACATCACAAAAACCCAAACATTCCTCTCTAGCTGGCCGGCAGGAACGGATCTTCCCGTTGGCTCCCTCAAGAGACGTGGACTCAGGACGGCCTTCTGCCCCAGCGTGGGGTGCACTTGCAGGGTTAGCACAGACGGGGGTTGTTGCTGGCCATGCTGTGCCCGCTCTAGGGACAGAGCAGGGACTCCAGGGCTGACACAGCCACCATGCAGGAGGGTGAAGTCCATGCCGGGGAGGATGCCTTGAGCGGAAAGGCTAGAAGACCCACTGGAGGATGTGGCTACACGGATGAGTCTGGGCAGCACGTTCAGTGCCAATCCCCTCTTCCTTGGCACGTACGGCCGGGAGCCCTTCCCAGCCTTCCAGGGCTTGCTTGTTTAACCCTGGAGTGCAGCTCTTTCAATGCCCGCTGGGCGCGAGGGGAGGAGTTGCTTCGGCTCCTCTTGGATATGGGCTGGTTTGGTACCTGTGACGAAGTGGGAATGTTCTTAATGTGGTCTTTGAATGCTGAGTGGGGAGTATTGACCTGGGAAGGTTGCAGGGGAGTTTTGCTGGGACGGTCTGCACTGGGGATGGGAGACTTTCCGTGAGGGAGGATACCTGAGCATGTAACATGAGAACCCAGGAGGCGGGTTGGAGGCCAGGTGACCCCTTTGCCCGGGGAAACTGGACAAAGGCTGTGGGAGGAGCCGGGGGGAGGCTGAGTGAGACGGCTGGAGGGAGTTTCAGTTTGGAGCTGGCTGGGAAAATGGAGGGGAGCCCAGATGGGGCTCTGGCCTCCCTGCCCTCCCAAGATGGACCTAACTGAGGGGGTCCTGTGGTCTGTACCTGCAAGACCTGTCTTGGACTGTGTTCCTGTCGTCTAAATAAACCTTCTGTTTTACTCACTGGCTGAGAGTCACGGTGAATCACAGGAAGCTGGGGTGCAGGGCCTTGTCTCCCCCCCCCCGACACTTCGTGACAGTACCCAGCGCCCGGGGCAGAGGAGTGTCCATGAACAGAAATAAACAAGTGACTAATGGACTCAGCATCGTTTAAAAGGTCAATGGATTCTTGCCCATGGAGCAAAGAGCCTTGAACTGCCCCCCAGACAGAGGTGCTCTGGGAAACGGGTCAGCAAACTGGCTCCATCCGTCACAGCAAAGGCAGAGCTAGATGGGAGGATCCCTTGCCAAAAACGCCCCCTGCCATGAGGTGCTTGCCCCATAGAAGCCAAGATCTGGGCGTGGCCAGCTCAGTGGGTCTCTGTGGTGGGGATAGAACATGAGGAGCGAGGCAGAGGAGAGTCGAAACCTCCCAGGGCCACTCCACAAAGGCACCGTAAGCTTTGGCCCGGCTGGAAGAGCAGGTGGTGCTGTGGGCCCAGACTGAGGATTACCAGCAGGGCAGCATTTCTCTGGGGACAAGGACAGCGTGCCCCAGCCCACCTTATTTTTTGTCTAAAGGAGCCAGCGTGGCAGTCCAGGGCTGTGGGTGTAATAGTGAGCTCTGCTTCTTCTGACCGTGTGCCACAGCGAAAGGCTCTCTGGGCAGTGCCAACCCTCCCCCTCCCCCGGGAGAGACACTCAGACCTATGGGTCAATGAGGGCATGGAAAGATGCCGGCTCCAGGTGCAGTGCTGGCAACCGAGGACACTGACCCTTGCAGACGTGGTGGTTGCCCCATTTCAGGTGGCTGCCATGGGACTGGGCACAGGGGCCAGCGCCGTTCAGCACCAGGGCTGCGTTGCTGGGGGAGATGGCTGAAATCCCCCCCAGCGTAGCTAGCGGGGTGCAGCGGAAGCAGCCGCTTCCCCTCACCCCTTTTCCCAAAAGCGGCGCCTTTCCAAAAGTGGCTGCCGGCCGGAGGGGTGAGGGGGGGCGCAGCATGGTGCAGCCAAGGGGGGGGGGGCGTGGCCGGAGGAGGAGCCAAGGGGAGGTGCCTTTTTTAGGTTTGCTCCCCCTCCTCTTAAAAGCTGGCTACGCCACTGAGGCAGAGTTCAAAGGGCCCCGCCTTGGCCCCTCTGCCCAGTGCGGGAGAGCACCCAATGGGCATAGTAGAACAATCTCCTAGGAACTGGTGTGTGGCCAAGGCACTGAGAGAGAGAGGTGAATGAGGTGCAGGGCAGGAGGGGAATTGAGCGATTTCAGGTCCCTGGGTTAGCAGAGGGTTAACCAAGGGGCTGAACGAAGCGGGGGCTCAGAGCGAACAGGCAGCCAGAAGAAAGGGAGAGTAAGGGAGACTGACTCATGGAGCAGCCCACACAGGTGTATATCCACTCATCACACAGCCATGGTTAAATGCAACCCCCTCTGGGGAGCGTGACAGTACAGCTACACCACACGATGCTGTAGGAGAAACGAGGAACACGGGCAGCACAGCCGGGGTAACGCCCGCTGCGGCAAAAAGCGCCAGAGCATCTTTCACGATTGCAAGTGGTCAGAAGCTTGGTTTTACGTCTCATGCAGGACACGGCCCCTCTAGCAGGACAGCCTCTCCCAGCACGCCCACTGCTGAGCCATTAGCCCCGTCCTGGCTCAGAGGGAGGAGCATCCTCTGATGTATATCTGGCATTACTTCCCCGTGAACCCCAGGTATCCGCCTTGGGGGTCACCCTTCCAAGAGCTAAGCCCAGCTTGGCTCAGCTCCTGAGAGCGAAGAGAATCACAGCCCGAGGTGCCGTTCATCATCATCGTAAGTAGCTCTTAGCTAGCGCTTTCCGTCCGGGGATCCCAAAGTGCTTTACAAAGGAGGTCAGGATCATTATCCCCATTTGACAGATGGGGAAACTGAGACAGGTAAGTGTCTTGCTCAAGGTCACCTGGGAATAAAACCTAGTCCAATGGTTTCTCCACTAGGCCATGCTCTGTTGCAGCGGGCACGTGGGGGGGGGAGGGGGAGAGCCGCTTGCCCCAGCTGATCACAGAACCCAAGAACCCCCCATAGAACCTTGCCTGACAGAACCCAGGACCCCAACCCCTTAAGCTTGAGTGTCCAGGCTCCAGCTAGAGCCCTGATGACCACAGTGCTCTTTTTTCAAGCCCCACTAGCATGAATCTTCTACCCGGGCTGGGAGACACACCCCCAGGGTCCCGACTGCCACCCCCTCCCATAACCAGCAGACACAGAGACCCAAAGAAGCCCCTCAGCCCACGGTCGGCAGGCCTCCTCCCAGGCCCAGGCAGGAGTGGAAGGACTTGGAAAGCAAAGCAAAGGGTAGGAAAGAGAGTGGAAGGGGAGGAGAGAGATGAGTAAGAGGGAGAAAACATGAGGTGTGGTAGGAAAGAAAGGGTGGGGGGAGCTGGAAGAGGTGGGATGGGAGGAGGAGAGAGAGGGGATCAAAGAGAGAAGGCGCGTGGGGCCGGAGGGGTCTTTATCACCATAAACCAGACACATGACGCTGTGCCCCTTTAAACCACCCCTCCTCCCGCGCGCGCCTTACCTAGCGTGACCTCGGCCTGCATGGGCATGGAGAGGGCAGGGTGCTTGACCTCACAGCTGAAGAGCGCCTCATTGTCTATCTGCGGGTTAAGTGTCCACATGAGCATGGCCCGCACCTCCACGGTGCCGTCGCTGAGCGGGATGTGCGTGTGGTGGAAGTAGTAGACGGGCTCCATGTCGTGGACCCACCTCGGGAACTCCCGGCTCACCACAGTCTCTGGGATGATCTCGGTGGCCGGGCTGAACAGAAGTCCCGGGTCAGGGGTGATGCTTTTGAGGGGGTCCTCCGTGTAGGGCCGCCCACCCCGGTCCTCTACGTCCAGCAGGGAGAGGGACTTCTGCATCTTGGTGTCGTCCAGGTCGCGGTTCAACAGGTTCCGAGCGGCTCGGCTGTCCTGTAGCCCGGCGGCGCCGGATGGAGGCTCCAGGAGGGGCACCACCTCTATGAGCTCCCCGTCTCTCTTAAAATACACCTGGGGAGGGAAAAAGGGAGGGTCTGGGTTACTGCTGCCCACCCAAAGGATCCCCCAGCTGTTGGCATCGGCTGGGGCTGCCCGTTGGACAGAAGCTTGTCCGCTAGGGATCACAGCAAACACAACCCGTCCCATCCAGGCCACTGACCGGCTGTTAGACATTAGCAACGTCCAGCTGCGACCTGCCCTGGCTGGATTTCAACCAGCAGCCTGGGTATGAAGGACTCTGGGTTGCACTGAGAGGTGAGATGAGATGGACTCTCCCACCTTCAGACTCCCTGAGACCCCAGACACCCGACCTACTGATGCAGACGGGGACCTAAGTTGGTATCACACCAAGGAGCCAGGAGACCGAGCAAGTCAATATGGTGGTGGGGGGCTACATTAGCTTCTACTTCGCACCCCCTCTTGGTCTGTTTTGGTGCTTCTCCATGGGGCTAGAAAACCAGCCTTCCCCTCTGGTAGAGCTGAGCCGAGACGACAACCTGGGGCCCGCTAACTTTCTAGGCCTGCATCTGGCCGCTGAGCTAAAGAAACAGCCCTGCCAGTAATAGCCACAAGAGACGCTACGCTATATTACCCGCAATGCCATCCAGGAGCGGCAAGGCCAGACAGGCTGAGGTGGCCAATGCCAGCAGAGGACGGTGGGCAGCATGACGGACGAATGGCCAGAGAGTCACTGGGGTGGGATACAAGTTGGCTCCCCGAGGCTGGCTGCATGAGACATTATTCATACAGCACTGTCCTCTGCCCACCGCTTCTCTGACCCCAGCCTCCTCACTGATCCTGGGACACAGAATGTGTGGGCGAGGCAGAGGGGAGGATGTACGTGAGAGAGAGAGGTGCATGCTGCTGTCGGTGCAAAGACGAGCAGGAGTGTCCGAGTGCGGTGAGTTTGTGCGAGACACGGGCATGTGTCTGTCTGCATCGCAGCGTAAGACTGAGCGTGAGAGCAAGAGGACGTCGGACTGCTCGTGATCAGGCGAGTGTGAGGAGAAAGTACAGAGGGAAGGAGAGAGAGTTGGAGAGGGTGTGAAGTGTATGCCCAAGAAGGTGTGTGTGTGTGTGTGAATGTGTAGGGGGGGTGCATGTTTATCTGAGAAGGTGAGTGTGTGCAGGGGTCTGGGTGTGTCTGAGGTGAGTCTGTGAGGAACGGGTGTGTGAGCAGGGTGCGTGTGTATGTCGGAGTGTTCACGAGGGCAGCAGCTGTGGGCGCGTGCGTTGAGATCTCAGGGTGAGTGTCCCTCGCAGACACAACAACGCCTGAGTAGGGATTTCGAAAGCCTCTCTACAGCAGAACTGTATTCCATTTCAAAGCGCTCCTTCAAAGTCTCTGAAGTCTCAGCGTAACGTAAAGGCTGCAGGACGCTTTGGAGAGAAGCGTTTGAAAAATGACACAATATTTTTATTTAAATGCCTTGAACATCGGAATGCAGAGGCTGGAATAACTCCTGATCCTTTGAGAGAGCAGAGAACCCCCTGGTCTCCTCCGTGTGTTTATTTAAAGGAAAATCATTCACAAAATAAGTTCAGAACCTGCCTTCAAGGAAGCTTAGACAATAAAACCTGCCGAAGACATCACCTGATGCAATGGAACGTGGCCTTTGCTGTGAGCCGGTATGTTCATGTGAGTGCAGAGCAAACCGGAGCACCCGGCAGCATTTCCCTGGGGAAACGGGGGGCCCGGAGGCTGGGAAGAGGCAAAGAACCGTTCACTTGTAGGTGCCAGACAGAATCTAGCCCGAGTTGGCAATGAGCATGTAGCACATGTGAGATGAGTTTGGTGGATCTCAGCCTCATTCCCATGGGCAGGTTTGAACATCAGTAAAATCTCCTCTCATGATTTGAGCGACTGGGGCGCACACCCAGGGACTATTCACCTTTACAGGTGGGCCCAGGTTTGGGAGAAACATCCTCTGCTGCTGTCTAGGCTGCACCCGCTCTGGGCCACCCAGCGGGCTCCTGTCTCCAGAGCTGTCCATCTGTCATCTTCCCCCAGAGCTCAACTCAGCTGAAAACAATCCATGCTTTGCCTGGAGGAACTCCGAGTGCCTCCCAGAACCCTCCTCCACCTCCTCACAGCTACCCCCACCATCCTCACTGGTGCCCACCACCATCCCACCTGTGTCTGCTACCCCACACATAGCCTCTGCCATCCCACTCCCTCCACCACTGCCCCCACTCCACCAGTACCCACCACTGTCCCCACTGTGTCCATACCTACCTCCCCACCTGTGCCCATCAGCGCTACTTGTACCCTCTGCCACCCCACTCCCTCCACCACTGCCCCCACTCCACCTATACCTAGCATCATCCATGCTCCATCCATATCTACCGTCCCCAGCACCTGCACTTACACCTACTCCCGGACCCATCCCCATCCCCACCACCCCACCTATATCCCCACCCTCACCGCCGTACCTCCCATCCTTCCTGGGAACTGACAACACGGTGCTGCCTTTCTCCTCCCTCCCCAAGGCAAAGGCAATTCTCCCAAGAGCCTGTGGTGGCGCTACATCCCACCTGAAACCCCCTGCGGGTGATCAGGAGTGGATTCCACCAGTGGAGCGAGCAGGAGTCCACCTGTCAGCTCTGCCGATGAATCTCACACCTGACCTCTCCCGCCCCCTGTTAGTCCAGTCCCAGGCAACTCCCTTCAGACTGCGCTGCGGGAGGAGTCTGTAAAATCAGGAACTAGCATTTCCCTCGTGGTTTAAAACTAGATTTGACCCTAGGCCTTCAGGGCACCCTGGCTGGGCTGGACGGCTAGCCCCACTGTTCTTCCTGACGTCCCTGCCAGCGGGACGGGGTCCCAATCCCAACCGGACTCACTGGGGGGCAGATTTCTTTGTTGACTGGAAGAAAACGGAACCTGATTCAGATGGTGGGCTGGCTGCTGCCTGGCACGCAAAGGGTGAAACCCATTCATGTCCATCTCCTCCACACAAGGACAGTTTGAGTCAGGGTCTCACCAACCCAGGATGCCCAAGAGGCTGAAAAACACCCTGGTTCCTGGCTGGCACCTGGTTTGTATTTGTACATGGTTACCCTGTCTGACCCCAGTAGATTCCTCTGCAGCATGGGAGCCACAATTCTCTGGAGTGCCCGGCACACGCGTCACTACGGACAATGAGACACTTAGCTTCAGCGTGGAGTGGAGCTGGGACCAGAACTGAAGATGGTAGGTAACGAGGGCACTGAGGGTGGTGGCTGGGGATCCTACAAGGGAGATCAGCCCTGGGAAGGAGGTCGGTGTGGTGGGGTTACTATTTGCACTGGGGAGAAGGGTCCCTGGAGGGCTGGGGAAACATGTCTACTCCAGGGTGTGCTCCAAACAAAGCATCAGGCCCACTGGCCCACCAGCCCGCATGCTCTCAGCTTTGACTGTAGCGATGCAGACACATTACACATGGGACCGTCCCTATGGCCTGTAGATAACTCCGCTGCTCCTGATTTCATATCGTGCCTGCTGCAGGCTCTGCAGATGCCACCCCGCCATCCTGGCAGGGCAGGTTGGCGCTGCTCATTGTACCAACCCTGCAGTCATTGCATGAGCATGGCTTGCAGGGCTGGAGAGATGGACAGCTCGGCAGGCAGGCAGCACCAGGTATGGGAGCTCCTGGGCGCTTGCTGTACTCACCGTCGGGGCAGGCTTCCCTCCAGAGGCTATGCAGACCAAGGTGAAGTTCTGCGCTTGGTAGCGGCTGAAGGGGGCGGGCGTGTCCGCAGCAATGACTGAGATGGAGATGGGAGGAGCTGTTGGGAGAAAGACCAGGGTTATCACCAATGACCTGCTATCGTGCCCTGAGCCGACCGACCAGAGATCGTACAAGGGGCCTGTCCTACAAGGCTCGCCAGCTGGGGCTGGGACAGGGCAGTGGGGAAGTGGGTTGGGACAGGGCTACCCCCAGAGGCGCATGTGGAGACTCCATGTGCCCCCCTCCCCAAATACACAAGCATCCCATATACGCACTCCACACGTACCACACTAGTACGCACACACACACACACACACACACGCCTGCTGACACACACTTCCATACACCCGCACAGACGGGCCCAGACCCACTTCCCCCCACGCAACCCGTAATCACACGTGTATACACATGCATGCATGCACAACAAGGTCAGGCTCCACCTAATGCACCCCACACAAGTCGGTGTACACACACCCACACACCTGTGCACACAACACAGGCACACATATACAGTACTGCATACAAACCCATGGGAACCCTCCATGCACCAATATACATGCATACATCACGCCAGATCACCCATGCCCTTCTCCTCACACCCACACACATGTACAAAACGCACTGCAGAACCTCCCGAGACACGCATGCCGTCTACAACACCGGCCACGGTACATCCATTCCCACCCAGGTGCCCACATACTCCCTTGCCCTCTTGTTCTGCACCCCACCCCCGAAGTGTGTTGCAGAGCAGGTGTTAGCAGCATGTGCAGTTGACGAAGTTCATGGGAGAATGGTAGTTTTTAGTTGTCCGGACTGTGACACCTCTCAGCCTCGAAGGAGAGCGGTGCATGCATTCTCCCCCGCCATTACCATAGGACGCCGATGTGAGTCACGGCATCATGGCAAATGTCCCTTCGGATCTCTCCCCTGGCTCCTCGGCAGAACAGCCTCGCCTGAGCCCCAGGCTGTCCTAGAAAAGAGACTATGGCATGGCTCCCACCGCTGAACTGCCAGCTTCCAGAAGCTGGCCTTCCTCCTGGCACTGACCACCCTGGTGGAAGGTGGACAGGCAGCCTCCCTCTCCTCTACCCATATGGGGCCTTTTCCGAGCACTCCTCCCAGCAGAGATCCTCTGGGCAGCGCCCACGGACTCTCCTTGGAGCAGATCTCCTCAGTGTCAAGTTGGGACAGGAGCAGCGCCCTCGTTAACTCTGCATTCATTATTAATTGCTACCTCCTACCTACTTTTTGGTAGCGTCTTGGCGGCCAACCGAGATCAGGGCCCCCCCGGTGAGAGGTGCTGTGCACGCAGAGTATGGGACGGTCCCTGTCTCGGCAAAAGGTGGGAGAAAGTGCAATTGTCCCCAGTGTACAGATGGAGAACTGAGGCCTGGAGAGATTCAGTGACTTGCCCACGGTCACGCAGTGAGTCTGTAGCACAGCCCACTCCGTTGCCTTAACCGCAAGACCCACCCCCCTGCTCTGAAAAGCTGCTTTAGTTTAAAGGCAAATACTAAGACGTGTGACAACAATACTAACAAACTCTCGGGCAATCTGACCCCGACTCTCACCACAACTGATGTTTTTTTCTGAAAGCCCCAGCTCCTGGAGTCAGGTGATCATGTGAGACTCTTGGCTTTCATCAAAAAAGTTTCTAGTTCCTGTGGTGGTGGAGAAAAGCTTCAAAATGTGACCCGAGCATGACCTAAAGGCCAAAACCCAGAAGGCAACTAAGAAGACCCCATGGGGCTGGCAATACTGCAAACTAATCATGAGTGATGCTTAGCAGGTCTGCCACACCCTTCAGCCAAAGTTCCCCTAGCCCGTCACAGACATTAACTGTGTAAGTGTCACTGCCAGGTAGGTAGGGATTGTTAACCGCCTGTTACAGGTGGGCACATGGAGCCTGACTGGCCCTGGGTTCACCAACAAATCGCCAGACAAATGGTGGTTTGCACTATTGTTTGCTGACGGGATAGGGCCTGATTCTGCTCGGGGCCCAACTCTCCACCCTCCATCCGTCTATCTCCAGAGCG